TGGTATAATTTATAGCAGAAATTGATTATACTTATTTGCAATATCCACGGGATCTCCACTTTTACTAAAATTAGTCCTATTGTTATTTTTGCCCAAGATGTCATTGCATAATTGACCACATAGGTACATTTTCTTTTATTATCTGAACTCCCTAATTTTCTTACTACGTTCTTCCGATCTTACTTCTTTCAGAACAGAATCATATTTCTTTTTAGTTTGTATACAGTGAGCACGTAAATGTTGGAATTAAATCTATAAAATATACAGGGTGGATATTTTTCAAAAAACCTCGGACACGTCAATTTTTGATTTTATCGGCCGTTTTTTTTGATGATACCATATATACAGGGTGACCCAAAAACAAGTTATGACAGCTAACTTTATTTTTTTAAATAAAAACACCAATTTTTTATTTCATTTTTAAATTCTACGTCAAATTCTGAACATATTTCATGTATCATATCCTATACCTATCTTCAACTGTTTCGAAAATATTGACAGTTGAAAATTGACTTTTTTCAACTTTGACAGGCTGTAATACCTGAACGGTTATTTTTAGAGCAAAGCCGATCACACATTATTATTGCCTTAGTTTTCCATAAACTATCATTTGACACCAACTTTGAATTTAATCCATGGTTAAAAATTCCGGCTAAATTTAATCTCCGGTTAAATTCAAAGTTGGTGTCAAATGATAGTTTATGGAAAACTAAGGCAAGAATGTGTGATCGGCTTTGCTCTAAAAATAACCGTTTAGGTTTTACAGCCTGTCAAAGTTGCAAAAAAGTCGAAACTGTCAATATTTCCGAAACAGTTGAAGATAGGTATAGGATATGATACATGAGATAGATTCAGAATTTAGCGTAGAATTTGAAAATGAAATAAAAAATTGGTGTTTCTATTTAAAAAAATAAAGTTAGCTGTCATAACTTGCTTTTGAGTCACCCTGTATACATGGTGTTATCATCAAAAATTGACGTGTCCAAGGTTTTTTGAAAAATATCCACACTGTATATTGTTCTTAAACTTATTGTCACTTCTGGTTAACACAAGTAAAGATGTCAAGTTGAGTCTTAATATCTGTGATTTGTTGATAGTGATGCTTTTTTCTTGATTTTAATAATTTTGGTGGGAAGCTATGATTAAATAAACCTACAATAGGTATATAAAATTATTCCACTGCCCATTTACCTCTTGTTCGTCAGAACAGCTCTCATGGGATATGCATTCTATGAATGTTTGCTTGTTTTCATTAGCGAAAAATCTCCCATACTGAGGTTTATCGTTAACAGAATTTCCTAATGCAAAATAGTTATTTTCCTAACAAGTGCGCAAAGTGATACTTTCCCGCACGAAAAAGCAGTTAGACGAACGACGCGAAGCGGAGTTCGGATAAGCTTTGAGTGCGGGAAAGACACTTTGCGCAAGTGTTAGGAACAATACTTTTTCTACGAGCGTTCGAAGATTTGCATCTAGAGAGGAGCAGTACCTAATCTTCTTAAATGTTTCCAGATGCTCAAAACTAGTGATTTTCTCTCCTAGTTCAATGTATTGCGTTTTCAATTTTTTTTTTCAGTGATCTGCTTGACTTTAATTGCAACATTGGTTGTGCTAGCGACGTTTACTTAATTAAAATTTGAACAAGTTGTTGAGTTTATTTTTCTTGCCAAATTTAGACTTCATGTGACTTGTTAAATTAGTTTTACATAGCCACAAGTACAGCATCTTCCCAAAATATATAATCCATTTTTGCTTGCATTATCATAGATCTTGCTTTATCTATTGGTGTCTTATTCATTCTTTTCGCAGCACCATTAAGTTAGTAGTATATGGAGTATTATAACTTAAAGTCCAACTTTTATAATCTGATACTGTAAAGGAATGTGCTGTGCATGAGTTGACTCCCAATGTCAACGATCACCTGACCTCACATCTATTTTTCCTGGATTTTTCCTCCCCTCGCTCCTTATATGGAAAGTGTCGAATTAAAAAAACTAAACATCACCTGAATGCCTTTCTTGGAACAGAACAAAAATAACATCAGGCTTTTCTTTCTGAATATAAGTTTATCCAGAAACCCACAAAACATTGAAAAATTGAGTTTAAATGTGGTAACTATGCGTAACAAAAATGAGTGCGCAAAGAGTTTCCGTGCGCAAAGTCCAACTTTGCGCACGCAAATGAGTGCGCAAAGTAATAACTTTGCGCACGCAAGTAGAAAAACAATTTTTTGCGCAGTTTGATCAAAGATATATGATATATGTATCTAAAACCGAGCTACATACAAAGTCACAATTTTCAAATAAGTATAATATTATCTATACAATAGAGCTATTTACTGTTACTCTGATGTTTTTAAAAATAGTGGGAGTTACATGACAAGAGGATACCAATGAAATTAGATTCGTGCGCTCGTGGTTCTGATTTAACAATAGGTTTGTTCGGACTTAGTTCAAAATCAATTCTGAATTGAACTGCGCTTGCGCATTTGTTCATATCGAGCATATATAAACAATTGTGCAAGCGCAGTTCAATTCAAAACCGATTCTGAACTAAGTCCGAACAAACCTAATGATTAATATTGTCATAATGACATAGTGATAATAGTTATTTATGCAACAAGGGTGTAAAGTGAACCTTTTTTCACGAATGTGAATTTTGACACACGAGCCGAAGGCGAGTGCGACCATCACATGAGTGAAAAAAGGCGCTTTACACACGTATTGCATACAAATTTTTTTCTACTACCAATCAAATATGAGTGAAAAAATAAATTTGGACAAATACTTTACGCACTAGTGCGTAAAGAATTTTCAGTTTACGCACTAGTGCGTGAAGTAATTTACCAGAAAAATGCCAAATTGACAGTGTCGACATCTGTCATTGACATAACTTTACGCACTAGTGTGTGAAGTGAATTACTTTATGCACTAGTGCGTGAAGTGAAATTTTACGTCTTCTGAATAGTGCGTAAAGTGAGTACTTTACGCACGGTAGTAGAAAAAATACTTTTTTCAACGACTATTAGAGAATTTGTCCATTCCGTCTTAGTTTTTGATTGCGGAATAGCTTCATTCCATCACTAGTGAAAGAATATTTATTTCATCACTTGTTATGGAATGAGTACCTGTGGCAACATCTACATAACGTTACAGCTGAAAACTACACCAGCTGCACTACTCAAACTGCAGAAATACTAAAAAACCTAGAAATTACTATAAAATGCAAGTCACTGACTAATATCGGCGATTTGTATTAATTGCTAGGGCAAGAAGTGCAGCAAAATTATTGTAATTTGCAGTATTTTTAAAGAAAAAAGGGATAACTGATTTACGGTATTCGTATCATGGTCTCGTGTTTTTTTACTCCAACAAGACTTGTCCATGGTTGAGGTTTTTGCGAGAGTTTTTCAACAGTTTTAGTCACTTCCTCTTCTGATTATGACACTTCTATTTTAGCATATGCCTTTTTTCTAGTTTTGAGGATATTAGCTATTAAAATGGGTCATATAGTTTCGGCTGGGACACCCGGTATAATAACCCGGTTGCCGGTTAGTTTGCAATTTTATCAGTCTGTCAGACATTATCACCGATAATAACCCGGTTAGTTTGCAATTTCAGATCAGGCATTAGGTACAAAACTTAGTGATAACCCGGTTAGTTAAAGTTAGTTTGTAATTTTAGTCCACAGAACATATCAACAGTTGATATGTTGATAATCAACTCTAGAAAAGTATCCTCAATGTTATGTACCGGTTATGAATTACAGCGCCATCGTTGACTGAAAACCCAACTAATCGAGCATTCTTGACAAAAAGGCGAATTGATTTTTTTCATATATTTTTATTATTTTTAAATAATAATAATGTCTAATGTTCAACTGCATTTGGCTTGCTGACTCCTTTTAGCTCTTTTTGCCTCATTTTTTTGAAAACTATGACTGGCAGGAAGTTTCCGATGTCGAACATAGTGCAAAAAGAGTTAGTAAGTTAGCAAGAGACACGCAGCTATAGGTAGATCGCAAAGTATATACGAAAAATAAATACAAATAGGAACGAAACGAAACAAACGAGTGAATACAAAAAAATACGAACAAAAATTAGGGTTTTTTTCAACCAAAACTTTTTGAATTTTCACTTTAACGCGCGTGGGGACCATGGTTTACAACAACACAATTTAAAAATTCAAATTTTGACTTTTAAAATGACATAATAAATGACAAAACCAACCAACACAAATCACTGTCCACACCACAGATACCTGTAAATTTCTCTTATCTCCCGACAGTGTGGCCATCGTTGACTAAAAACCTAACTAAAAACCTTCGTCGCGATTCTCCCATTTGAGATATTTTTCTATAGGTGATATGTTCTGTGTTTTAGTCAGACATTACCAAACTTACAGGTAATAACCCGGTTTGTTTGGGTTAGTTTGCAATTTCCATCGGTCAATAAATTGCCCACTCGACTTCCAGCATTATTTATATGCCTGAGTAATGTAATCACATCCTCTTATCAACCTTTATCATTTATCACACATCAATGGATAATCTCTATCCTTATCAGCCCGATATCGCTATTATAGTGGTTCAAGAAAATTAGACAAAAAAAGTAAAAAATGGAAATCTGACAACACAACATTGCTTGATTGGTTTTAAAACCAGCATGGACGAGAATGATCTTTGAAATATTCAATGATTAAGCATGCATATCTTTATTTAAGAAACATGAATCTTCATGGCATCTCAAGTCGAATCATAAAGTCAAGTTACGATTCCGTGATTTAGTCGCAGTAAGATCAGATCAAATTTTGTATTTGCAAAATTCTTGCCTGTAACTTTTGTGTTTACTCTTGGAAAACAGCCTTAGCATGGGTGCATTGTGATTTTAATCTATTTAATTTAGTATAAATTGGCCTCAGTCTTCTGTGTCATCTAATTTTACCTTTTCAGTTTACTTTTTATTTGCCCAAATTATTAAAAATATTTATCTTTATTTGCAGATATAGATGTGATATCTGTAATAAAGAATTCGCCAAACTTGGCGACGTCGAACGTCACACTCGTGTCCACACCGGCGAAAAACCTGCAGAGTGCAACATTTGCCATAAACGTTTCCAGCAGCACCATAATTTGACCAAACACTTGCTGATTCATCTGCACGTCAAGCCCTTCTTGTGCGAAATATGCAATAAAAAGTTCGGCCGTATTGACGTACTGAATCGGCACTTGTTGACGCACTCTATAGAAAAACCATTCAAATGTGAATTGTGTCACAAAGGATTTATCAGACACCATCAATTGACTAATCACAATGGAAAGGCGCATCCCGAGATTGACTTCGACGATGAAAATGCGATTATGTTGGAAAGTATGACTGAAGAAGAGATGGTTATGTAAACTGCTTTATTCAGAATATAAAATTTAATCTAATCTTAATAGTCTAGGAAAATTGTTGATTTTCAAAAAAAAAATCCTACCCAAAAGAACTTTTCAGGGATGATAGGGGGAGGGTGGGTGATCATAAAACCGAAAATATCAAACATTCACCCCTCTGGCGTTTTGTTCTATAGGGGTTGAAAGTGCGCCATTGGCGATTACTTGGTACCTGTTGATTGTACAAAAAAATGTTTCAAATAAAAGATGTGCAACATTATTTGATCTACAATGTTTATCTAAAGACTTTTTTGATTAAGGGCCGTCTGTGGTCAAAAGGGCCGTTTGAAATTTTATAATGAAAATGAAAAATTTTAACCAACATGAAAACATTTTCTACAACACATACAACATTTTTGCTTTATGAAGTTTTTACTCACCTCCTGCCGTTTTTCAATAGGGGTAGTTTAAATTTTTTTTATTATTTTACAAAAAAATGTTCTCAATAAAAGTTTTATAAGATGACATTTCCTACAATTTTTCCTAATCAACTTTTTTTGTAACTCACCCCCATTCAGCGGGGGGGACACTTCCCTCGGGGAAATTTTAGTTTTTAGGGGTATATATTAATTTTTTTTTCTTTTATCGCCTTTAATGCATATAAAAAGTTGCAATTAACATTGTATTGAAAGGATTTTTTTTCCACCACCTTTTTGTTTTTAGGGGTAGTTCGCCTATTTTCAACTTTACAAATTATTGAGAAAACTTGTTCATTTTATTATTTTGAACAACTTTTCTCTATATTTTTTTTTTGTGAAGTTGAAAATAGGCGAACTACCCCTAAAAACAAAAAGATGGTGGAAAAAAAATCCTTTTAACATAATGTTAATTGCACCTTTTCATATGCACTAAAGGCGAGAAAAGAAAAAAAAAATATATACCCCTAAAAACTAAAATTTCCCTAAGGGAAGTGTCCCCCCGCTGAATGGGGGTGAGTTACAAAAAAAGTTAATTGGGAAAAATTGTAGGAAATGTAATCTTTTAAAACTTTTATTAAGAAAATTTTTTTGTAAAAAAATAAATAAACTTTAAACTACCCCTATTGAAAAACGGCAGGGGGTGAGTAAAAACTTCATAAAGCAAAAATGTTGTATGTGTTGTAGAAAATTTTCTCACGTTGGTTAAAATTTTTCATTTTCATTATAAAATTTCAAACGGCCCTTATGACCACAGATGGCCCTTAATAAAAAAATTCTTTAGATAAACATTGTAGATCAAATAATGTTGCATATCTTTTATTTGAAACATTTTTTTGTAAAATCAACAGGTACCAAGTAATCGCCAGTGGCGCACTTTCAACCCCTATAGCGCAAAACGCCAGAGGGGTGAATGTTTGATATTTTCGGTTTTATGATCACCCACCCGCCCCCTATCATCCCTGAAAAGTTCATTTGGGTAGGATTTTTTTTTTGCAATGCACGTATTTTTCGACTATTTTCTTAGACTATAAGTAAACTAAACTGATTTTATTTTTTATATATATTTCTGTTTATATAGAAGCACAACTAGATTTTAGCTAGTATGGTGTTTGGTTTATGAAAAATATAGTTGAATAATAATTGTATTCATTAAGTTAATTTTTTATTTGTTTTTCATTTTAGTGAAGAATGGTTCACTTATCTTTATTAGCTTTATTTATTTATATTCGATATACATATTACTTTCTAAGAAATAAATCCTATTTGAATTTGGATAATGATTTTTGCTGCCTATTGAAATTTTTCGCAATAATTACTCTGCTTGCAGCAGCTGCAGAACCGGACTCAGAGAGATGGACAAGAAATGCAAATTATAAATGGTAGGTACAAAATAATTTCATAAAAATGATTACCAACCACTTAGGAGTTGGAATAAAAAAAGAAAATTCCAAAAAAAAATAACAAAACCCCACCCATAGAAGAGCGCCTAATTCCATCTCAACTGTTTATGCCAAAACGCTGGTTTCTGATGCCATCGTTTGCAGACACTTTCGACTTCCTCGAGCGCTCTTCTATGCGTAATTAAATAGATTTTCAAACTCTATTTGACGTCAAATATTAATAATGAATGGCGGTATGATATTTCAATGGTTTTGGTTAGTTGTGCCATCTATGGAAAAAACGTTGATAGACTTAAGTGCTATGAGATACTACATTCGTACTATCAAAGATAAGTAGTATTTATAGTCTATGATGTAGGTTTATAGTTTATATATGATGAATGTGAACTATTATATTCATTTATGGTACAAAAGAAATGTAGAGATACGAGGCTGGTTCAACTTCAATTAGAGAGAAGAGCATAATTTTTAGATTTTTCCTGACTTTATTTGGTCAAGAGGTCCCTGCTGGCAAGGGCGCAAAGTCTCGTTTTCTTATCTTTACACCTTCGCCTCGATGTCGAGTAGATGGGGGATTTTGGAGAAGCTCCGAACCTGCTCAAGTTTATAAAAAAATCCTACCTCTATAGAATATGATATAGTGCGGCACTTCCAGAAGTCTGTAGTCCTACTTGTTACTATACAATGTTACTACTGACTACTGCAATGGTACTAAATAACAAGACCTAAACGTATACTTAGTTCTGCAATTGTCCTATAGATGGCACGCCTATCCTAAACCTTTGAAACTTCATACCGCCATTCATTGGTACTATTTAAACTCAAATAGAAGTTTTAAAATCTAAATAATTACACATAGACGAGTGCACAAGGAAGTCGAAACTGTCTGTGAAACGATGGCATCAGAAACCAGCGTTTGACGTAAACAGTTGAGATGGAATACCGCGCTCTTCATGTTTTGCTATTTTTAACATTGGAAATGTTTATGTTCTCGTATATGGGGATCAAATTCGAAGTTTTCGTTCAAGGTCAAAAGACGGCGGTGTCGCCAGAGGCGTGCGATGAAATAACCAGAAGCGTGTCGCAGTGGGTGTAGTACTAGTGTTGCCAGATGTCATTAATTACGTAGTTATTTGTCTAGGAAGCGTTATGTCAAAAATTTGACATCTGGTTTTAAACTATATTTATTTTTACTTTTTAGTTCGATTAATTATTTTAAAAAAAAATTGCAAGTTCTTGTGAACATGAACATGGCGCAGATTTTTTAATATAAATATTTTTTTATTTATGGGATTTACTATTGTAAGTAGTGGTGTAAATCTCCAACTGAAAAAAAAACAATTATTTCTTTTCGGCCGTGAACGGGATTAGAACCCACGATCGGTGAGTCTGGGAGTTGACGTCAGCGAAGACCCGCGCCTTAGACCGCTCGGCCAACGAACGAACTTAAGGTAGAGGGATTACTAACAGTAATAAGCCACTTGCCTTTAGTCCAAAGGAGAGTTACTTACAATTCTTACAAACATACAAACAAACAACCAAACAAACATACATACAGGTGAAAGCTAATAAAAGCGTGTTAAAAACGCTCGGACACGTCAATTCTGTATTCAAGGGGGAAACTTTTTGACCCCATCGTTATTTCGCTTAGGGTGCACAGTGGTGCACCCCCTGGGTGGGGTGACTTTCACGCCTCTTTTTTAGATAGGGAGATGGGTCGAGTGGTACCTTGTTAGTTGTTTCAAAGGTATTTGGATTCTCATCATAACTGCGTATTTTTTTTGAAAATCGAAAAACTGGTTCTCAAGATATTCCCTGTCAAAGTTGCCATGGGCTAAATGAAAAACAATCGCCTGTCCCTGTTATTCTCAAACTAACACTTTCCTGGCTTTCCTCTCGGATACGTCAATTTCCATTTTTTCAGAAGCACGCAAAAAATAAAAATTGACGTGTCCGAGAGGAAAGTCAGGAAAGTGTTAATTTGAGATTAACCAGGGCCAGAAGATTGTTTCTTATTTAGCCCATGGCAGCTTTCAGAGTAAATATCTTGAGAACTAATCATTCGATTTTCGAAAAAAAAAACGCAGTTGTGACGAGAATCAAAATACCTTCAAAATAAGGTACCACTTGACCCATCTTCCCCTATCTTAAAAAGAGGGGTAAAAGTCACCCAGGGGGTGCTGCACACCCTAGCGAAATACCCATGAAGTCAAAAAGTTTCCCCCTTGAATACAAAAATGACGTGTCCGACTGTATTTTTTAAATTCGACCTTGAAATACCCTAAAACGCCTCTGTTTCGATGTTCGTAATTACACTCTATGTGATGTCAAGAATTGAATTTCATCCTGTGCGGATCTTTCTAACCTACCAAACACCCTGTATACTACGGAACTTAATAAGGTATTTCTCTCCGTAAAAAGCCTACTATCCAGTCTGTTTTCATTTTTCACCCTTGTGTCAATTGGGAAAGAACATGATACGGCACGGCGTCATAATCAGACAACCCGGCATTCAGCACTGTACATTTTACTTCATCTTTATTAAAGCTAGTGCAGTTATAATCAACCAACAGTTGGAGCTGATAAAGCTGAATACCGAGTTGGCACATCAACAGGCATCGTTAGGTTAAACGAGTGCAAAAGGTTTCTCAAAGACTGGGTATATCTGTTACATTTATCTAAAAAAATTATAATAAAGGTCTCCAGTAAACACTAGAGAAGCATTAACAGGTATGCCACTTAGTAATACAATTCCAACTTATTTAAAAATGATTCTACACTACTTGAAGGAGACCTGTATATTCCTAAAATATAATGTACCTATTAAGTTTCTTACAAAAAACTATGGAACATTCAAACACTTTTTCTTCTAGTAGGTGATCAAACCTATCAACAGATAAAAACTCAAAATTACAAAAAAAAATCATTTCGGACCAAGATTACGCATACTGTAGCACCATGAATAAATTGCTCGCGTGAGTACGCATCTATAACTTTAATAACCATATAACCCTATAATTTAAAATATCAAAAAATTCATTAGGCTTTAACCAGTGCACTACCAAAACATATTGAGCAATACTAGGGTAAGGTTATTTCAGACTGAGTTTGTTCTAAAAAAGATGTGTGAGGTTCCTCATAGTAGGAGAGCCGGCAATATTAACGGGTATGTGATCATTGTAATGGATAACTTCCACATAAAAGAAGAAGGAACAATGTTATCGTTGCAATAGCTGAAAATTGGTAGATATATATTCTTTAATATGTCTTCTCAAATAATATATAGGGTGGCCTCGATTTTGATGGCCGGAAATGATGGAGTCACTTTCAAAGTTAAAAGAGGACTCTGTGAAGAGGATTTTGCATACAGCTAGGTCTTTAGACAAAAAAAGAAACAAATTGTGTTAATAAAGTATTTGCCGCATATGATGAGAACCCCCTACACCGCAAGGACTCAAGGGCGTACCCAGCGAGGGGCAGGGGGGGGCAGCTGCCCCCCCCTAAAATTTTTTATAAATTATAAAAAGGCTCCGCTAAGTGCAGAAAATAAAAAAATCAAAATAAACCACTATGGTTTTACTAAAAAAATTACAAACCCGAAAAATATACTACTAAATACTACTAAAATATATTCATATACCTACGTAAGTCAAACGCAGCGCACTGCACAGCCTACTAGATTTGCAATTAGCGGAATTAGCAAAGAAATATGAATTTTCTATTACGATCCTGGCCCCTGCGAATTTGTTGTATTGTGTTGTTTTTCTAACGGAATTCGATTATTTTCATTTGTTATTCAATGTTAATTTGTTTGTGCAAGTACTGCAAGTAAACTTAATTTACTTAGTTGTTGATAAACGTCTATGCTATGTTGTTAGCAGTTACGTTACACTAGTAAACATTGTCAGAAATTTATATTAGATTGTACTGTAACGAAAATTACCCTGAGTCCGCCTCTGACTCTTCCCGGCCGCGTGGAGAATTCTCGAGACGCAGCGCGAAGCTTCGTACGTGCTGCGGAGAGAATCTTCGAGAAGCAGGCGCTTCGGATATAAAAGGAACAATGTAGGGCGGCGAGGGCAGATTTCGCCAGTGCCGGGTTGAAGAATAGAATACTTTTATAAATAAATACAAGATACAAGGCGTTACATAAACTAGTTAGTGTGTTTAGTTAAATTAATCAGAGTGAATTTTAGTTAAGTGTTAATAAAAGTATAGTTTTAATTAATTGGCAGCTTTTATCACATCGTAGTCGAACAAGTTCACGCTAAAAACGTTACAGTACTTATTGGAAAATCTGCTGAATCTACCTATTTCGGGCATCTCGGTATCTCCACACTGATAAATGGATATCAGGAAATTTTTTCAAACAGGTAAGTTACAGTTAGTAAGTTACATTCGACGACATTTGTGTAATATCTGTAAATTCCAATTAAAAAAAACAAAATGTTTTTTTCCATGTTACATGTTAAACAAAACACTAACATGGATATCACTCACACTGTATAAAATACTAATAGCGGCATTATTGTGTTTTGCAGCTACTAAAACTCTCAAGAGGAAAAAAGAACATGACAGTAGCAGCGGGAGCGATGATAACAATGATCAAATTTCATCGCCAAGCCCATCTAAAACTGAATCTGAGCAACCGCTAAATTCTTTGAGATCTAAGAAAGTCACTGCTCCTAATTTAGAATCTTCACCGTCAACATCTGGCTCTGTAGTCAATCCCGAAATTGAAGAGAATGATGGTTGCCACGAAAATGACTTGGGTCGTTATGTAGGACAAACATTTCACCTGACGATGGAAAGAAAAAAAGAGTTTTTTGATTGAATCGGCTTTTACTTGGTGGAAATCCATTATCTAATAAAAGATTTTTTAAGTAAATTTTAATACTTATATATTTCCACAATTTTTTGTTAAACTTTTAACATGTTTCGCTAAACTTTAGCTTCATCAGAAAGATTTTAGAAAAATAAAATTTTATTTTTCTAAAATCTTTCTGATGAAGCTAAAGTTTAGCGAAACATGTTAAAAGTTTAACAAAAAATTGTGGAAATATATAAGTATTAAAATTTACTTAAAAAATCTTTTATTAAAAAAAGAGTTGTTAAAAAATCCGTGGGTTCCACCCAAGAATTACGATTTTGCAGCCGATGC